CTTGGTATATATCTAATTTCTCAAGAAACATTACACTATATGTCTCATAATTATAAAGATTAATAGTAATATACACTTTATTCGCATCTAATGAAATTAAAGAAGTTTCGTAATCAGTCATTTTAAAAACAATGATTACACCATTAAGAAACCACATGTTTCTCATCCTCCTGTTAACTTTACAACCCCCCCAAAAAAATTATTCTTTCTGATTTGGAAACTTGACCTAACGTTTTCTCCAACTTGCGACCGACTTGTCCATACGCTCATTACTATTCAAAAATCACATGCAAAAAAAAAGAAGTTTCAAATTGGAAAATAGAAAATTATTTTATTAAATTGGGGGATTCCTTTTCATCCTACGTTTAAAATACAGTCTTTGCAGTAGAATATTGGGTAAAAGAAAAGGTTAGTTTTGGCTCTAATGTATTTGTAGTAAGTTTATAAATAAAGAAGAGATGTAAAAGATGGATCTTAATTTGTCTTTTTACCTTTAGATTATCATGTTTAACTTATTCGCTTTTTCTTTTCTTTTTTTTGTCTATTTCTTGAACGTTCCTACCATGTTTATTTTCCCCAAATATCAAATTTTATAGTTGGTAATTGGTTTATGCTAAATTCAAGTCAACATAGCCTTTGCTGGAATATTCATGTATTTAAATATTAAAACAATGATTTTAGTCTTGCCATAAATATAAATGACGAGTAAATCATTTCTTCTTCAAAATATATTTCGAAATTAAAATTTGGTATTAAACTGAAAACTAAGAAAAGTATTTAAAAGTAGACAAAAAAAAAGTATTTAAAAATTATATTAATGATGTCGTAAAAAAGAGGATGTAAAAAAATTTCAATAAAAAATTATTTACAAAGAATTGATCGTTTCGATAAGTTATATCTAAAAATAGACTTTTAAAGTTTATATATAGTTAAATGATGATTAAAAACTGTGTAGTTGTTTTATATTTATCGATCATTCATGTTATTGCAATAACTAATTGGGTGGGTGATATAGATTAGATCTCTAATATTGAAATTTCATCTTCACATTATAAAATTCGTATTTTTGCGTAGAATATAATCAATCTTCAGAAAACGCGTAGACTAGCAACAAGTCGGCTATTTTACTAATCTCTACTTTGTTTGTTTTTAGTCCTAAAACGGTTTCATTTATCTTGTACTTGTACTGTTCTTTAATTGATTCTTGAAACCCATTTTCACAATATAGAATTAATATAAATTTTGTTCAAAGAAAAAAAAATTAATATAAAAACATATATAAAGTGGTAGGGAGAAAAAAAATAAGTCAGCAAATAAAATTAGTCCAAATGTTCACATATACGAACATGTGGAAGGAGGTCACATGGGGCTCTCTCCTGTCATTTCGTCGCACCACAAGACAAACAGAAGTGGTCTTGTCCTCTTGCTTAACCAATGTGCATAACAATTCCTTAATTATTTGACTCGTTTTTTTTGGTTAATTATTTGACAACTAAGGTCCATACTTTACTTATAATATTATTCTTAAACCCACACAAATATGCATATTAAAGTATGCACACTTTACTGTTATTAAGTCGTAACACAGTCACTAATATTTTAATAATTAAAACCTTTTTAGGTAGTTAGTTCATGTTTTACTACGCCAACGGCAAAATACAAGTTCCAAAACAACATGTATTAGGAGATGACTTAGGTCTTTACGGTATAATATCATTTCCAAACACTACGATGGTAATTTTTGTTCCACACATATTTGGGCCGGTGCATGGTTGATCGATATTTTTCATCACGAAATTTGAACTAAATTCATGAATATGCAAAGTGTTTACAAAATTGTTGATTCGGAAACTATGATATCTATGAGTTGTTAGTAGCTAATGATCGATTGTGAACAATTAAACAAACCCACCAATGAAGATACAATTGATAACAAACAAAATCCACAACAACAACAACTACTAGTTGCACATTAAAATTCCAATCAATTAGTGACATTTGATATCTCTTTCTCGTTGGTCAAACTGACTTTTATAAAATAAAACAAAAAATCAAATGTATTTAAGTTTCTGAATGCTTAACTTATGAGGCGAATTTTCATATTCTAGTATATAGTCTATAGATGAATAAAAATATACGAGAATGATTCAATTATTTTGACAGACATAGACATTACATCGTATCAGATTACGTCAAAGTCTCAACCACAACTTGTTTTTTGATCTCTTGTCTCGTGACGATTATTAGCATCTGCAATTATATTCTTAAGTACTCTCATAATCCATCTATAATCTAATCTAGGCCAATAAACACACTCTCTTATAATCTTAGCTACTTGACCGGATAAAAGATGCGCTTAAATAAATGTTTACAGTGTCAACTAGATTTTAAAAGACCATGATGAGTTTTGGTCGTACATTTATAAAAATTCTCACAAAAAAAATTAAAAGTTATTTTAGTTTGTTTTATTGGATCATGTTGTTAATATCAAACCTATAAATTTTGATATTTATAAAACAAAAGGGTAGTCAAATAATGATTAAAAACAAGTTTTTATCCATATACATATGAGTAAATTCGAGAATTTGATACGTAGGGGTTACTTGGATTGGATTTGGATAGAGTCCGTATTCAAAATTTCAAATCATTGCATGCATAGAATCCAATACGCGTAAATAAAATCTGAAGTGTGTTTGGTACATGTGTCGCGCATATATGTTCATGTACTGGATGAGACAATTTTGGCGTTTTAAATACATGTTCCTTGTTACCATCAGCCACTCGTTCGTCTCACTGATCGCCATGCATGAGCATGACAATATTATGTTTTCACTTTTTATGTAAGAGAATTTGTGTTATTTGACTGTCATCAATTGACACGAGGTTGATTTAGGGAATGTGATCAGTCAAATATTTAATATGATTTTGTTAATATAATAAATTTTGCTGTTATTTAAATATAACTTTTAGAAAATATAATGAAATCCAATATTATTAAAATAGTTATTTTAAATTATATTCTTATTAAAACTATTATGAAGGTTAAAAATTGAAAACAAATAAATCTAAATCTCATAGCTTTAAATGAAATTTGCGATTATGTTACAAACTTACAATAAATTATATCAATTTCTCTAAATTTAATTAAAATTAGTGAAACCTATAAAAACTCATTAAAACTCAATTCAGCTAAAAACTAATGTTGAATATACCTCTTAAAAAAAACATTATGTGATTATTTATCTAAATTAATCATTCAACCGTCAACTCTATATATTTCACCTTATCGGCATCATATACAAAAAAAAAAAACATTAGCTCACCATATCTGTTAGTATTACTTTCAGTTGTGATTTTGTATTTTACACCTAGTTTTTCAAGTTTTACAAGCTAGCTATTCGTAGAACAATGAATATATCAATGTTTTCTTAAGCACACTTCCGAATAGTCTGTCACTGGCTCCTTGTTTAAAAGATGTTTTCGTACTCCAGATTTATCAATTGGGAGAAGTACAATATGGAATTAAGTTTCGACCTTTTCATTTTGTCGGACTAGGTACAACTTTTGCCATACTAAAAAAAACATAACATACTGTTCTTTGCATACTAATTTTATGGTCAAAACTCTATTTTAGAAGCCTATTATATTAGAGTTTTCGCCGACCATATTTCTCCAGTTTCTTTAGATTCTTGTCAAAATTTGGGTTTTAGATCATCAATTAATTTTTCTATAGCATACTTGGCATTTAAGCTAGCTTGAAGTTTGCAATGGCATGGGAACCGAGACCTCCCTAAAACCTAATTTAGGCACACATTTTTCTCTAATTATGGAACAAATTAAATATATGTACTTTTTCATTTGATCTCCAACAAATAATTTACTCTAGCACATCAAACTATCCGATCTCATGGGTCATGCTTATAATTTATCTTATGCAACATATACATGTACTTTCATTTTATAATCGATGTCATGAATCATGCTCATTTTATTAGATTTTCATTTATGTTTATTTAGTGTGTTATATAATCATTTATATTTATATTTTCTATTGGTTAAAAATTATTATAAATATGTAATATATTTTATGTAAGAATAACAAAACATTTCTGACTTCTTAATTTTGTTGCTTTTAGTTACAAAGTTTTATAAAATGGGAAATATGGAGTATGTCAAAAGTGCAAGAGCTACTAGTACTCCCTTGTTACAGAACCACAAAAAATTATCCTTAATCCCTTCATTGCTTAGATCATTTTAACATCATATTTTAGTGTATTTATTATGTTTTACAGAAACTAATTAGGGATAAGTATCTAGTAAATTCTACTATGTTCAGTTACTTTAATTTCTCTCTGATTTATTTAATATCTAATTATCATGAAAACTATACTTTAACTATTTAATTATCTTTAAATTAAAAGCCATGGAAAGAAAAAAAGAAACCAATAACATAATAAATGATCATTTGATTGGGTACAAGTTGTAAACATTTTTTACATTAAAAAGATAAAAAAAAAAATCATAATAACATTATCTCCATAAAGATAAAGAACACGACAAACTTGATATCTAGTAGTAATGAAGAAAACAAACTTCATAGTTAATAAACAGATCTTGATCACAGACTATATAATTTTTTTTTATAAATAAGTAAATAACTCAAGAAAGACTTTAAAGATAGAAAAAAAAAAAACAAGATCGCAAAAGTAAACTCTTGTAAAGAAGTCTCCAATGGAGAACAATCTAACTCTTGCCAATGCGTGGCATTTGCCTAATTTGGTGATCCTTCTTATATTTCGGGTAGAATCACACACACTCATGTAAAAAATAATACCGACAACTCTAATAACACTATTACAATATTGTACTACTTCTTCTTCTTCTTTCATTATTATTATTTATACTTTAGAAATTTATTTTTAATATATTATTATTTTTTATATATCTTTATTAGGAAAAAAAGTGGTTTCCGACCAGCAAAATTTTTCTTCTCTTCTTCTTTATAATCATCAGATCGCTTCTTCACTTGGTTTTCAGGGCTCTCTCTCAAACCCTCTTCGAACAAAATTTCCACAAATCTTTTTTAACAATTAATTTTCGAGTTTCTTTGATAAGATCAAGAACACAGTGGAGAAAGATCCACATATCAAAAAACCAAGTGAGGTTGTCTATATCAAGAAGACGAAAATGCCCTTGTCGGCGACGGCGGATACAAGTAAGACGGTGAAGCTGGAGAGGTACAACAGCTACCTCCGCAAGATTCACAGCACCAAAGTTCTCAACGCTTCTTCTAAAGTTCTTTTCCGAGCAACGTTACTTGTAGCTCTTGTCCTTGTCCTCCTCTTCGCCATCAACTACCCTCCACTCTCCGACAGCCGCGCCGCCGCAGCTCATCATCTCCACCGTCGTAGCTTCTTATCCACCGGACTATTCTCTTCCTCTTCTTCTTCTTCCTCCTCCTCTATCGGTGGAGCCGCGTGGGAAAAGCGCGTTAGACAATCCTCAACTGCTAAAAGACAACACGGTCTCTCTGTCCTAGTCACCGGAGCAGCTGGCTTCGTCGGATCCCACTGCTCACTCTATCTAAGGAAACGAGGCGATGGAGTCTTGGGATTCGACAATTTCAACGATTACTACGACCCAGCACTCAAAAGAGCAAGACAAGCTCTCTTGGAGAAGCAACAAGTGTTCATAGTCGAAGGTGATCTCAACGATGGACCACTCTTACGTAAACTCTTCGATGTCGTCCCATTCACTCACGTTCTTCACTTAGCCGCTCAAGCCGGAGTACGTTACGCTATGAAGAATCCTCAATCTTACATCGCATCCAACATAGCCGGATTCGTAAACCTCCTCGAAGTAGCCAAAGCAGCTAATCCTCAGCCAGCGATTGTTTGGGCTTCCTCTAGCTCTGTTTACGGTCTCAACACTGAGAACCCATTCTCTGAAGAACACAGAACAGACCAGCCTGCGAGTCTTTACGCCGCGACCAAGAAAGCCGGTGAAGAGATCGCACATACTTACAACCACATCTACGGTCTCTCCTTAACCGGACTACGGTTCTTCACAGTCTACGGTCCATGGGGAAGACCAGACATGGCTTACTTCTTCTTCACTAAAGACATCCTCCACGGCAAATCAATCGACATTTACAGAACACAAGACAATCAAGAAGTGGCGCGTGACTTCACCTACATCGACGACATCGTCAAAGGATGTGTCGGTGCGTTAGACACGGCCGAGAAAAGCACAGGAAGCGGCGGAAAGAAAAGAGGACAAGCTCAGCTACGTGTTTACAACCTCGGAAACACGTCTCCTGTTCCGGTCGGAAGACTGGTCTCGATCTTGGAAGGGCTGCTAGGGACAAAAGCCAAGAAGCATCTCATCAAAATGCCGAGAAACGGTGACGTGCCTTACACGCATGCTAACGTGAGCTTAGCGTACAAAGACTTCGGATACAAACCGACGACGGATCTAGCGGCGGGGCTGAGGAAGTTCGTCAAGTGGTACGTTGGTTATTACGGGATACAGCCGAGGGTAAAAAAGGAAAACTCTCACGCCGAAGATTCCGCTTAATAATTTTACTTCCACCATCTCTCTCTCATCATCACATGCTTGTTTTTTTTTTTTTTACAAAACCAAAAAAAAAAAACTTATAAATCATTTTACAGGGACAGATTTCTGTATTTTTCCGTATTTAAAAATTGCAAAAGAAAAAATCATATAATGTTTTTTTTTTTTTGGTGGTGGTCCTTTTTTTAGGGGGATCATAGTTGTGGGAATTAAATTGTTACAGCTGTATGTTATAATAGAGAAAAAAAAGATATATAGCAAGAAGAAGAAGAAGAATTGAAAATATTTATATATATATTTTGTGTTGGGTTTTGTTATTGAAATAAATGAAATTGGGTTCATCGATCTTGCTGGAAAGAAATGAAACCTGTGATCCATTATTATTAGAGACCAACTGTAAAATAAATTTTATTCTTCTTTAATGTTTGCCTTTTTATCTGTTCTTTTTACTTTATAATGTTTTTGTTTTTGTTCTTTGCTATTTCATGGCAAGACCAGAACTGAACTGAATTGAAAGTAATCTGTTGTAACTAGGTTTTGTTGATGGAAATATGATGACTCAATCCGAATCGAAATAAAAATGAAAACCATAAAGAGTAATAAAGGAAGAGGACCATTGGCTTTTCTTTTGTCAAATCTTATCTCTTATGTTTATGGACTTTATTCTCTATTTCTTTTTATGTTTTTCTGTCTATTGGATTTTTAGATTTTTTTTATCTTCTGTAATAGATTTGATGATATATAAAGGTTTTTGGCAATTATTTTAGATATTTGCTTTTGAAGATGCACGATACCTTAGGCAATTTGGCAAATAGCATTTAATTTGTTATATGAGTTTCTATCGGTTTCTGCAAGGAATCAATTTAGAATGCACTTTTTATAACTCAGCAAGAAATAAAAATGTTCTTCCCCAACTATAGAGTTATAAACTTTTTTCATAAGGAATCATGTAGTATTCAAGAATTTGATGCATTTTGGCCATTTGGGTCACACGAGTGTAGAAAACATACGTAAGTCTATGTCATCGACTCGACTCATGGTAATACACAACAACTTGATATTACTACATCCAAATTGGGAGTAAGCACAAGAATTGTATTTGGCAGAACAAGGAAACACAAATAGGCTTAAAAATGTAGAATATTGTAAAATGGGCTAATGGGCCAATGGGCATGGCCTCCAGTTTAAATTCATTATTGGCCTCCAGTTTCATTCACCAAAATACTAATTGGTACCTCCATGGCTCTATGGTATATCTACAAGTCCGAACAATCATATCAAAATCACTCATACATGACTTGTGACTAAAAGGAAAAGTTTTAAACATTAAATCAACTCGATGCAACATAGATTGCTGAAGATGGAGTAGCAGCAATATGGTATTCATTGGAAAAGACACAACCAAAAACAGGGTCTAAGTAAGAAGTTTAACAAAACTAGTTTTAAGGTTTGTTTGCAGTTAAACAGAGAGGGAAACAAAACTAATAACTAACTACTGAAAGTTCAGAGGCTCCTCTCTCTCTCTTTCTCAAATCCTCTGGCTTGTTTTAGTATCCACCTCCTCCACCACCGTAACCACCACCACCACCGAATGATGATCTCGGGGCACTCGGTCTTTCGTTAGCAAGGTTCACACGGATGTTCCTCCCATTCAGCTCCTGATCATACCCAAAACACACACAAAACAACTAGTAAGAGGCAAGACCTTTTACACAGAACACAATATGGATTCATCTTCTGATCACATACCCAACCCTCAAAAGAGCTAGTAACAGATAAGACTTTTTGGACAGAACTTTTCAAACACTATGGATTCAACTCCTGATCAAACCCAAACCTAAGTAAAAAGACAAGACTTTCGTAGACAGAACACTTACCAACACAATGTATTAAGCTACCCATCATACATACAAGAGACATGACTTTTAACACAAAACACTCAACATTAAGCATTAGCAATTCTCTCTAACCTTTCCATCCATTTCTTTGATGGCATTGTTTGCGGAGTCTTCACTGTCGTAGCTGACAAATCCAAAACCCCTTGACCTCCCAGTCTCTCTGTCTGCAATCACCGTAGCTGCACAACCAAAGACACAACACTTGTAACGAACAAGATACATGAACCACAACAAACAAGACAAATAGGTCCCTAAACACTACAAAAGCCAAACACTAAGACCATTTAGCAAAACTATTTATCAACCAACCTAAATCATCATTCTTGAACCGTCTGATATACATACACTACTAACATAGCAATTGTTATAACCATTCGAAATGAAAAACACATTCTATTAAGGAACAGAAAATATTGGCTTACCTTCTGTGACATCACCAAAGCTAGAGAAAGCGTCCTTCAGGGAGGAGTCATCAGTTCCCCACGAGAGACCTGAAAGCAAACCAAAACATTCAAATTTAGTGAAAGCCAAATTAAAATTCATACAAGCTACAAAAAAACCAGTACCAGCAAGGGAAGAAGATATGTAAAAAAATACATTACCACCAATAAAAAGCTTAGTGGACATGTAACGGAGAGAGCCAAGCATAGATGTGACTGGAACATTTGAGCTCTGAGAAACACCTTGTCTCCAAATACCACTAAGCTTGTTGCAAAAAGCCATTTCTAGATATCTGCACACAAAACATATCAAAACCATATATGTTGTATAACTAATCAAATTCCATTTCAATCAGACCAAAACAGAGTACAAAACCTAGAAGCAAAAAGATTATCAAAATCAAAGCCATTTCTAAAAAGATGAGAAAGAACATTAAAGGGGTGAAGCGAACCTGAATGGCGAAATTAGGGTTTTTGCGAAGTGACAGTGAGTAGTCAGTGAGAAAAGAGGCAGTGAGAGGATGAAGACAAAGAGTAGGGTTTAAGGGATTTTATACAGAACTCAAAAACTCTCTTTTTTTCTTTAAAAAGATCTTTTGTGCTGCCCAGATTAATCACCTGTGGGTTAGGTGTGTTTTATTAGTGTGTACTATAGTCTTTTGTCCAATAGAATAGAGAGGTTACAGAGTAAACAGTAAAGAGTAAAGACCGTGAAAAAGCGGTAGTGTAGTGAAAGTAAAATGTACCCGATGTAGGGGATCATGTTCACGGACTTCTCTCTAACTTGTTCGACCTTTGTTGCCACGTCGGCATGTTTATCTATTTGTTTACTCACATCAGTGACCAAAAACCCAACACAAGGTATAGAAAGCCCATTACAATGTTGTTATGCAAAACCCCATTAAAATATACTGTGTTTTTTTTTTCTTCTGTTGGGTTCAAATTGAAAGATGTATAATTTCAATAATGTAATCGAAGAGTATATATCCACATTAGTATTTTGAAGTTACTTATTGTATATGCTCTCAACGATTTTTACATTCTGTGTTGCGAATCTTGCGTTCTTTCATGTCCGAGCAAGGCCAATATGGCAATATGATCCTACCAACGAGTAGATTAGGTAAAGTAACAAGAGAGTAGAGGTGTTGACAAAAAAAAAAAACAACAACAAGAGAGTAGAGTACTGTGGTTAAGAATCTCCACTGAGATCAACTTCTTCCAACTATAGCTAGTTTGTTAGTTTGTTTTTTTTTTCTTTTGAAGGCAACTAAACATTAAAATACAAGCCATTCAGCATAAATTCCTTCACTGTTCCAATTTTACCTACTACACACAATGCAATATATGTTTAGCAAGTTATGGACATTGCAATATATAGTTAGTCTCGGTTCTCAAACCAATGGTTAGATCATCTCCATTAGAAATTAATTATAAAATAAACAATAGAGATGCTCTTGTGTCGTCATGAGTCATGAGCTCCTCAGGTCGTCCATAAACCCAGTTATTGGAATACAAACCAATATCCCACATCCAGTTATTGGAATACAAACCAATATCACACATCGGAAGATTAGAAAAAAAAGTTTCTAATATATAAATCAAATTCAACTCCAATTAGTATGAGGTTTTTTGGGAAAGAACCCAAAAATTCTGTACGGGTTTGAGTTATAGGTCCAAAGCGGACAATATCATACTAATAGAAAGTTGGCTTGGTTTAGATATCCCAACACCAGTCACATAACAAAGAGACCAACCATGAGTTTTTGGAGCCTTTGATGTAGGTTGTAGTTTAAGAAACCTAGTATAAGGAGATCAACCGAGTATTGTAGCAATTGTAGTAGTTTGGATGTTTAGGGTTTGATCCTCGTTATAGAATTTCAAAAAAAAAAAAAAAAAGTAAAAATAGAATTAGATAAATCAATGTATTTAGTGGGTCGATTTATTTATATCTTTGTGCAAGTTTTTTTTACACGTTTACGGCGGTAGAAGAAAACACAATAAATTATTGCTATTGGGGGTAACAAGCATGCATGAAGATAATAATGTTATACATGACTATTGTTGCATTTTTGTAGTGGGTCAATTTTGTTCCTTTGCTTGAAGCCACTAAATCCTCAGGACGGCTCTGCGCTCCCGACCGACACGGCCACTCGGGATCAAAATAATACCTTACATTACATTACCCGACATTTTTGTAGTTATTTTACATATAGATGTTCGACAAAAACGTTCATGTGATTCCCAACATCATACAAACCCTCTATCGTACGTGAAAATTGGTATGGGTCATTGACCGCAGGATGTCGAAAGATATTACTGAGACCAAACTAATATTTCCCGACCATCAATACGCACATCAATCAGTATACATAAATGAACTATATATACTGGAACGAATTAAAATGTACGGAACCAACTCTACATAATTTCGACTTTATGATTCTTGGTATATATAGTGACCATGTTGTTTAGTTAGCTGATTAGTATAATTGAATATAAAATACTAATTGGTTCGATTAATATATGATTTTTTGCAGCAGAAACGAATATAAACCAAAAAAAAAAAAATATGTAAACCACTGGATTACTCACTTCTTTGGGTTTTTTTTTGGTTTAAACTCACTTCTTTGCTGTATGCACATATATACCTAATTATAATATAGTATTTATTTTGTGATTTAAACATATTTTAAGTTTGTTGAAAAGTACCTTAATTAATCCTTTCCAACCAAAAAAAATGTACCTTAATCCTTTTCTTTGATAAATGGGTGTAATACTCTACTTATTATGCCATCTACATTTGCAATCGCAATAACTTTTTAAAACATATTAATTAGAGCACCACTACTAATCAAATCAATATAGGCCTACTATAGTTAGACGTCCACACAATACAAAGGTACAAAGTTCAATAGCTGCAACCACCGAACCACGTACAAGCTCTAGACAAATAACAAATTAAATAAGAGACATATATAACGCATACAAGTAAAGCTGATCCCTAACCTTAGCTTAAAATATATGGTAAGCAGTTGTAGTTTACTTCCCACACATCGACTATACTTCTTCATGTATATTATTAAAAAATGCCAATATTATGTTATGTGTGCCTATTGACTATGATTAAGCAAAAGCTGTCGAAGACTCGGAATTGTAACCCATCATATCATTGTTTGACACCACTTTCTTAGTCATGATTCATTTCAATGTGATTTATCTTCGCTTCGTTTTTGTTTAAGATGACTCATGAGAGAGTCGTTTGGTGTGGCGTTGGAAAGAGGCATGCATGTTGCATGCAACTTGCGAATGTTCCGCAATTTGGGAAGTCATTCAACAAAAGATATATGGATGTCTCTGGAACTAATCAGGATAAGGAGTGAACCTCTCATTCATACTTTGTTTAGCCGCCTTGCATGACAATTCGCCGATGTCTACAACTAAATTTCATAAATAATTTCTCCTGTTAAAAATATTTAATGGAACGGGTAGCAAGGCTAGATCAGGCCCCATGTATGTTAATTGAAAATTAAAGTTGTTGAACATCAATACCAACTTTTCTCAAAGTGCATATCTAAACCCTAACTAAACATAACACATATAAAATTTCTATGAATTAATATTGCTATAAGTTAAGAAATTTTATCGGATGAGCCAATGTAATCATTAACACATTTTTATATGATTACTAGTCGGTTGTCCGCGCTACGCGCGGGAGTTTATTATATTGTTTATAAGTAATTGGTTCGTACTTTTTTTCCTACTTGTTTTTTTCACTATACCATACTTTACTTTTTTAAAACTTAAATTGTGTTTATATACAAAAACTATTGAGTTTTAGCTTCATTAGTCGTTGAGAAAGTAAATGTGTATAGTATAAGTCGAAGTGTGGGAAACGTGTGATATTAGGGTTTTTACCAAATATATATCTAGATGTTAATATTTTGGGCCTTCTATATGTTGGCATGAAATTTGAACATAATTTGTGTGTTTCGGGCGGATTGTTGTATTTTTAATTTTTTACCTTATCTCTTTATATATTGTCATAATTTATTATTTTTTGTTTTACGGTTTCATTTTTTGGATTTGTCGTACTTTATATCTCGTAATGATCATTTATATACTATTATATATTTTTCTGATTTTATGTTTTATATATTTTTTGTTTTTCATATGGAACAATTTTTAAATTTAACATATTAGTATAATTTACTTTATATTTAGTTTATTTCATTTAATAATGTTTTATTTTAATTTTCAATTTTTATGAAATATAGTTAATTTTTTATTTTGTTTATTAGTTTAACATATGTGTTGTATTGGAAACAAATAGTTAAATTCATATTGGAAACTTTTAAAGAAATATTATTTTTATTTTTACCTTTTTATATGTTTATAAAAAATAAGAATTCATGTTTCGGTCCGACCTATCTCACTTATGTTAGAAATTTTTTTGAGACATAAATTAGATAGATTTATATTCTCAAAATTTCTTATTTTTTTGTTTTATTGCCGTTAAATCTCATTATCTTTAGGTTTACATTGTGTAAATATAATCATATATATATTTTAAACATTCACTAAAAACTATAATCTATTATTTATATATTTGTTAGTATAATCAATAATTAGTAAGTTTTTTTAACTCTTAATCAATTATCTTTTTTAGTTTTATAATGTATAATATAAAAAAAAGACCTTTCATATTCATTTTGGAAAAAACTTATTTACATAGGTTTAAATATTAAAATTAAATGATAAAATGGTATAATTAATTTTAAAAATTAAATAATAAAATGAGGTGGATGATGATGTGACTTAAGGAGAAAAGAGAAAAAGTTAACTTTATATATATAGATATATCTTTTGAAAAATTCTGTAGTTATGTTATCTCATCAATATCTTTAATTAATATAATTATATAAACTTTGTTATAATGATATAATTAACATACTTCTGTATTCTTGTAGTCGGTTTCTTATTCTCTATGAATATTCACTATGAACCACTGTATTTTCGTGATATATAATGTTACCGTTACCGTTACCATTTTCTGTTTAAAACTTCGTCATATAATTAAGTTCAAATGGATCTTTCTCATTTGTGGATTTCTCATCAATTTTTTCTGCAAATTTTTTTGTCTTTTTATACTAGTTTCTTTCTATTTATGAAGAGTTTCACGCACCAAAATATTTATATTATCCATAATTTTCTCCACCTCTTTACGTTATCTTGTCAAAATTTCGCCAGATAACTTAGTTTTTATGAATTTTTGTTTGTGGATTTCTCACCAATTACTTCTGCTAATGTTCCTTTTTTGTAATTTCTTCTATGCCAAAGTTTTAAGCACCCTCATATCTTTGAATTTTTACATTTTTATCATCTCCTTACAATTTCTGTTCAAAACTTCATAATGTCGAAATCATAATGATGACGATTTATAAATTGCATGCTAATTAATAACGTACATGAAGAGCCCTAAATGTGATAACTGTTTTCTTATGTGTAAGTGATTACATCGAATTTTTTCAATGCCTATTTATCTATATATATAAAGTTAGCTTTTCTCTTTTCTTATGATGCCACCTAAGCCATATTTTTGTTTTTACATTAAAATAAATTTAAACATTCATTTAGTGCATATTTATGTTACTTATTTAATTAATAGAAAGTTTATATAAATAAAAATAAATTATGTAAAATAAATGAAATGTTAAAATAAGAAAAACAATACTTTAATTTTTTTTATTAGTGGTAATAATACAATTCAACTTTCATTTTAAATTGATCATAATTTAAAATTTTAAATATGTTATTCAGTTTTAGAATGGAAGTAAATTTTAAATTTATTGTATAATAAACCAAATGTTATGCAATTGTATACATAACATTATTAAGAGGACAAATAAAATTGAAAGTGAAATATTAGTTTATAACATGATCAAAAAGAAGAAAAAAAATGATATTTCATAAATTGAATCAAATGCTTTTAATCCAAATTTGAGTATTGAAAGATAATAATTAAAGATAAAATAATTATAATATTTTTTGAAAATCAACTAAAAATATAATAAAATATTACAATAAATAAAAAATTAACAAAACAATATTATAAAACTCACGCGCGGAGCGCGGATCAACTGCTAGTATTTTTATAAAGTTATTAAATTCTCTCTAGAAAAAAATAATCATTAATTAAGGATAATATAACACTATAAATTAATACGCTATTTGTTATTATAGTTTATTACATGTGTGATGTGTTTGTTTTTATAACCATTACGTAATTCAGAATTTAACGACCCATTTAATCTTCTTAGATGAGTGTAGCGACAAAGTTGTACACTCACCGTAGTTTTAGTGGGTCTCAAACATAACACTATATTCAACAATATGTATTGTATATCATATTTCCTATATATGTATAATATTTCATAATCTTTATTCCAATACAATTCCTCTACATATATACAGGTCTAAGTAACAATGTATTACTTATACAACAATGCCGTAGGTTATGTAGCCGCCTGATCTTTAGGAAAACAATTAAGAATTGGGGTCATGTTCACCTACTTGCGACGCCCAACCTCTTGTCTCTATTATGAAATATAGTATGCATATATCTAACAACGTTTGTAAAATTATAGTCACAGAGTCACAATCTATATAACAGTGGTGAAAGAGAGAGAGACACGTTGCAAAACATTAACAAATAAGAAAAACATAAAACCTTTGAAATTACTTAATTATTTCTATATATATATACCCGTTTAGGCTAGAAGATACCACTCAGACTCATCTTTTCCAAATATTTCTCATACCTCGTTTGTCTTATAAAACATGGGTCGAAGTCAAGAAGAGGGAAATAGTCATATTCATGGCTTTCGGTTATCGACCGTGGGTTCGTCCCGGCCAACAGAGACCGGTACTACCCACGAGCCTACTGGTTTAGACCTCGCCATGAAGCTCCACTACATAAAGTTGGTTTACATCTACTCTGCCGAGACAGCACGTGACTTGACCGTGATGAACGTGAAAGCCTCCTTTTTTCCAGTGTTCGATCAGAACCCATGGATCACAGGCAGGTTCAGGCGGCACGAGTCGGGACGTCCATACATAAAGTGCAACGACTGTGGCACACGTTTCGTGGAAAGTCATTGTGATCTCACAGTGGAGGAGTGGCTCCGTGCACCGGACAGGTCCGTTGATGAGTCTCTAGTTTACCATCAACCAGTTGGACCGGAATTGGGATCCTCTCCTTTGATCTATATCCAGGTACGTACGTAGTAGATATATATATCTCTAGTGATTTAAAGTTTACGTATAGCCCCATTCATTAACATAGATAAAGACGTCTCATTACCTTTATTAATCATATAGTACATGTTTCTGAAGTTTGCTTACCACTAAATACGAAAAAGATGAAGACAAGAACTAGTGTAACAGAGAGAAACTTTAAACGGGATATATGGCTGATGAGACCTAGCTAACTATACCATATATATAGTTGCATGAATAATACGTATTTATAGTTTCAAACGAAAGCAAGTTATATTCTTAATACATCGGCATCAATTATTTTGTTCGAGTGGAAGAGAAGTCAGCTAATACGAGTCTAGGTCATAAACGTGTTAAGTGATTAAAAACAAGAAAATCTCGACGTTCATATAGTGAAAGAAATATATAATTTTATAGCCAAATATAAAAATCAAAAAGATCGGTTAAATTCCGTTTTTATCTGCTGATAGATGACCCGGTTTAACTGCGGTGGATTAGCTTTGGGCTTGAGCTGGGCTCATGTTATGGGAGATCCATTCTCTCTTTCTCATTTCTTCAACTTATGGGCTCGGGCTTTTGCTGGTGAGAAGATCTACTGTCCCAACACCTCTGACTTGGAAAGAGTATTTCAAAAACCGAACTCTACCGGTACAACAAAACCAAACTCAATCAAACGGGTTGACCCGGTTGAAGACCTATGGGTCGCTCCAAGTAACAGCAGAATGATAACATTCTCCTTCAATTTAACGGTTGACGCGATCAAATCAAATTTCCCGGCGATCGGAGAAGACGTATTCGAGATTCTCATCGGAATCATATGGAAATGCGTAGCGAAAGTGAGAGAAGAAGAATCAGATCCGGTTACGATTACGGTCATCAGATCGGATCCGAACGGGTTAAAACCAAGAGCGGTGAGAAACAGTCAGATGATAAGTTCCGTTCACGTCGATTTCTCGGTGGCTGAGGCGAGTTTGGAGGAGATTTTGAAATCTATCGGTGGAGCAGACGACGAGAGGTTTTGGATCGATGAGATTGTTAACGGTGTTTCGGATTTTATTGTCTACGGAGCGAATCTGACGTTTGTGGATATGAGCGGAGTTGATTTTTACGAGGCGAAAGTTAAGGGGAAGTCGCCGGAATCGGTTTATTGTAATGTTCAGGGGATAGGTGACGGCGGAGCAGTGGTGGTTTTGCCGAGTGGTGTGGAGGAGGAGAGAGTTGTGACGGTGACGTTACCGGAGGACGAGGTTGAGAAGGTGAAATGCGAAATGAATAAGTGTGGGTTGATCACGGTGTTAGTTAACGGTGAATGAAAGGATGGTTTAGTTATATTGCTATGATGTGTGTGTTAAGATTTAAGAGTGAAATAAGTACCAGTTGTGTATGGTTTAAATGGTATTATTTGTCGTATAATTTAATTTTGCATAATAATATTGTTCAGTGGTGTGTATCTAAAAATTAATATGTCATCAAGCTCTACTTGGATAGCTTGTAAAAAATTTAAAGAATATTATTATTTCATGAAAGTTTTTATGTATTTTTTTTTATGAGCAATTGCTATACAAAATTATTTCAGTTTATTTATGCCACCTTGGCTTGTGTTATTTATCTATAAACATCGATTTGTTATTTTGTTTAGTGAGTTAAGTGACTTAAGTCACATCAGCTGCTTCATATACATGAACTAAAATACCCATTATAAGGTCCAAAAAAACTCATTACATGATTGGATTTGGATACAACAAGATGTCAAGAGCTGAAAGATACTTCACTTTTGTATGGTCTAAACTGAAAAATGCGTTGAAACCCAATTTATAAGGTCCAAAAATGCTTCTTTAGTATAGTTTTAGCCTTTTAGACAATTAGGCATAAATTCAGCCATTTAGATATGCTGTTCAAGTGTTAGTTGTTTCAAATTGCTATATAACCTCTGGAAACAGAAATAGATATAAAAAATAATCAATGTAAGTAATAGGATAAAAATTTAAAAATGTATATATATTTTAGCAAGTTAACTTCTGAAGTTACTTTCATTTTTTTTTTTTTAAAGCTATTGGTAAGGGAAACATTGGTAAATATTTTTTCAAAAAGCTATTTCTCTAGGAAGGAAATATCCAGCAGGTGAAATGAAAAGGAGAAAAGGTCATATTACCCCATTTACAAGATCCTCACACGAGGTATATCACATAAAATAGTAACTGAGAAATAGAACAATAAACAATATTAGAATTGGATGTCCAAATTGCCTCATTGATTGTTGATTAGGCCATGTTAATCGAGCTAAGAATGCAGCAACGGATAAGCTTTTACATAATCACATTGCAGTAATTCTATGGTTGAATGGTTGTACCTCCTTTATTGGTTAATTTCCTTTATATTAATCTTTTATTGTACCTCCTTTATTGGTTGAATGGTTGTTACAATGTTTTGTAATACCTTATAACTCATTAATATAAGTCATATGTTTTTAAAAACAACAATATTAGATTATGGTTAGTATTAAAATAATTGTTAAAACAGTAAACTCGTATAATACGAGTCATATTACAAGGCTATCGTATTTTATAGATGTTCGACTATAAAGTTCGAGTGATAGCCCCAAACATACAAACCTATCGTACGTGAATAGTGGTTGCATCCTTCATTGTAGTTGAGTTGGTGAAACTAACGTGAAGACGTACGTAAATCACACAACTCACAACCGTCTACTAATATTTCTTAACTGTTCATATTCACATTAATCTATGCACATGTAAAACATCAACTATATGCTGAAACGAGTTTAAGTTTACGGAACTCATTAACTCTGTACAATTTCACCTTTATGATTCTTGGTATTGACATTTTAAAACTCATATGAAAACTCCACAAACGTTAAACATACTACAGATGTCAACCTCAATAGATCGATGAACTACAAAGTCACGGAACCATATATACCTAACATATACGGTAGCTATAAACCATTCCATTAAATCACATTTACTTTCTATTTTGGTAAGTTACAAAAATAAAACCATATGGATCTTAACTAGGTGGGATTGTAGTAAATGTGTTGGAAGTATTTTAAGTATTTGGTTGTTCGTACTCTTGTCTCGCTTGCGGTTGCTTTTTTTGTTTGCTTTCCGAATAAGACCAATTGTGGTGTATTTGACACTGAACAACACTAGCTAGTACATGATATATATTTTTATAAAGTATCAAATATGTGATAACTTTTTATACATTTCTGAAATGGTCTCAAGTTTAGTTGGCTTTTTGTGAATTAAACATGTTTTAAATTGTTTGAAAAGCAACTTCTTTTTTGTTTGTTGAATAAAATACGAGTATATACTCTCACGGCCATCATGACATATTGCCATATACTGTACGGATTTACATTTGCAGGTCGAACCAACTTTTTTAAACGTATTTATTTAGAGTAGAAGTACTATTCAAATCAAAATAAATTGATATACGTAGGCCTAGACGACCCACTATACAAAATTACACAAGCTCGTACAAATTAAGTTCGATATATACCATCAACTATATCAACCACAAGTTCTAGACAATTATTATGACAAATAAGAGACGTAACGTATACAATAAGAGTTTACTAACGTAGACCTAACCCAAAATCTATGATAAATGGTTTGAGTTTACTTTCTATACATGGACGACTGTCAACGAAAGATGGTTGTCTTTGGAACTTATCATATAAGGATATGGAGTGAACCTATCATCTACCAAGCTATCTATCTACGCTTCGCAGTGTCGCACGACAATTCACTGATTTATGCAAACAAAAAGAATCAACATACACACTTATTCCGATTAGACCAAAAGATCAAAAATGAGTTTCACGGAATATTTAATGGAACGGATAGCGCAGGACGAGTACAAACTACAAAGGCCCCGTGTATCCAACTTTTTGTTTCCAACTTGTATATATATCTAAAACCTATATGTACTTTCAATCATTGTTTAATTCTGTTAAGTACACTCAAATAGTAATAGAAAACTCGGCTGATTACCTAAAATGGTTGCTCATCATATTAAGCTAAGCTAATATTGGTTCAATCTCTTTTCTAAGTTGTTGGTACATATATATTCACATGATACGATGATCATATCGTATATATACAACAATGGATTGCCAACAATTATTTATACAACAATGGCCATAGGTTATATAACCTTCTCTAGGAAAACGAATAAGAATGGGGTCACGTTCACCAACTCGTGACGCAAATACATATTGTCTCTATTCTATGCATTATAACAACGTGAGTAGATTATAGTCACAATCTATACATATAACAAGGGTGAAAGAGAGAGAGACACGTAGCAAAACACATTAATACATGAAAAAAACATCTAAGTATATTTCTATATATACCTATATTAGACTAGACCAAGAGATCATCACTCAAACTCATCTTGTCAAATATTTCTCATACATATCTTTTGTCTCATAAAACATGGGTCGAGTTCAAGAAGAGGGAAGCGGTCCTGTTCATGGCTTCCGGTTATCGACCGTGAGTTCGTCCAGACCAACAGAGACCGGTACGACCCACGAGCCTACTGGTTTAGACCTCGCCATGAAGCTCCACTACATAAAGGTGGTTTACATCTACTCAGCCGAGACAGCACGTGACTTGACCGTGATGAGCGTGAAAGCTCCCTTGTTTCCAGTGTTCGATCAGATCTCATGGATCACTGGCAGGTTAAGACGGCACGAGTCGGGACGTCCGTACATTAAGTGCAACGACTGTGGTACACGTTTCGTGGAGAGTCATTGTGATCTCACGGTGGATGAGTGGCTCCGTGTACCGGACCGGTCCGTTGATGAGTCTTTGGTTTACCATCAACCAGTTGGACCAGATATGGCATTCTCTCCTTTGATCTATCTTCAGGTATACGTACCACTACAAATTCACGTAAAGTACATAAAAATTGCCATACAAAAATTAAAATCTGTTTAATACGGTTTTGTTTGGCGTAGATGACCCGGTTTAGCTGTGGTGGATTAGCTTTGGGATTGAGCTGGGCTCATATCATGGGAGATCCATTATCGCTTTCTCATGTCTTCAACTTATGGGCTCGGGCCTTTGCTGGTGAGAAGATCTACTCCCACAAAACCTCTGAGTTAGAAAGAGTATTTCAAAACCCGAACTCGACCGGCGCAAAACCGGAGTCAATCAAACGGGTTGACCCGGTTGGAGACCTTTGGGTTACTCCAAGTAATAGTAAAATGACAACATTCTCCTTCAATCTGACGGTTAAGGATATAAAATCAAAATTTCCGGCGAACGGAGACGATGTATTCGAGATTCTCATCGGAGTTATATGGAAGTGTATAGCCAAAGTGAGAGGAGGATCAGATCCGGTTACGATTACGGTCATTCGTCCGGATCCGAACGGGTTAAAACCCAGAGCGGTGAGAAACAGTCAGGTGATAAGCTCCGTCCACGTCGGTTTCTCGGTGGCGGAGGCGAGTTTGGAGGAGATTGTGAAATCGATCGGTGAAGCGAGCGATGAGAGGTCTAAGATCGATGAGATTGTTGATGATGTTTCGGATTTTATTGTTTACGGTGCTAATCTGACGTTTGTGGATCTAAGCGAAGTTGATTTTTACGAGGCGAAGGTTTTGGGGAAGTCGCCGGAATCGGTTTATTGTAATGTCCAGGGGATTGGTGACGGCGGAGCGGTGGTGGTTTCGCCAGGGGTTGTGGTGGATGAGAGGGTTGCTACGGTGACGTTACCGGGAGATGATATTGAGAAGGTGAAATGTGAAATGGACAAGTGTGGTTTGATCACGGTGTTAGTTAAGTAACGGTGATTAAATAACGGTTTATTATACACTTGTTGTGTTATTTTAATTTCGTTGTGGTGTTTTTGTATCATTTTGTTTATTGTTATGATGTTTGTGTTAAGAAGAGTGAAATAAGTACTATAGCTTTGAATGTTTTTAATTCATCCTCACGACCGTAATAAGACCTTTCGGATGGGTTTGGGTGCGTCATACAATATTTTTTATAACTTGTCGAATTCAAATGTATCATCTAACCATGACAAGAAAATACTCGTATTGCAAGGGAAGAATGCCTAGCGTATCCCTCGCAATATCCCTTGCAATACGTCTTTCGCAAGGAAATTGTGAGAAAGATGTTCCCTCGCAAACCATAGCTATGTTTACAAGAATGCCATGGTTCTACGTTAGGAACAGGCCTATAACATACATCAAACCAAGCAACAAACAAAGACCGGATTCGGAATATGAGTTTGTTGCTGACAAACAAGTGGCGGCCAGTGAAGATACAAGGGCAAAGAAAACAGATCATAGTCCATAGAGAGTGGCCAAAAGGATCTTATTAGGAGGGTGAGATCACTCCTCAGTCATTACACGTTGCAAATGCAGAGGAGATTGGTTGTTCAACTCTTTCTAATGGGTTCTGTTCTTTTACTATATTTGCAATTGCGGTCCTCATATAAGTTCAAACATAGATATTTGATCGTATACTTCACAAAGTAAGTAGGTTCTCTCCATCGGTTACAAAATGCTGACTTATGTACATTAGTAGGTTCTCTCCATCGGTTTTTATTTCATGATCCTAAATATTTTATCGGTCTATCAATCTTTTGCAAAGGAGAAAATTTACAAATATGTATAAAGCTAATATTGTGTAATTATTAGTATTAAATATAAATGATATGCTTTCAATGTACAGTATATCCTTATAGGTGTGATTACTAGTTTTAATTGGTGATCAATTTTAAATTTATTAATATCTAAAAATAACCATTTAAATTATATTAAATATTAATTAAACATTTTAAATGGTTTATATATAGATTAAACATTTTACTAGCTTGCGAATCATAAAGATCTAGTTATTGAATTACTTCCATATCCTCCACAAACAAATGTAACAATATTAGAAAAAGAAAAAAAAATCAAACAAAATCTTCATCTAGATATTTTTTTTTCTTTCTATAAATTTGAAAAAATAAAATAAAAGCAAATTTGCAAAAATATAATTATATACGGAAATTAAAAATAAAAACAATTAAAGAAAGTGGCGAGCATGTAAAAAATATAATTATTATTGTTTTATGTATAAACCAAAGAGAATAATTATGAATTGGCGATAATTTTCTAATTTCTGAGCTGTTTTTTGTGTTACACCCCTATATCCTCTGGATCTTCTCTTTCTCCTCCTCTGCAGATTCTTCATAGCAACAACACACAAAAACCAACCAAAACCCTAATTTGTTTTGTTTCTGTTTCAACAGAAGAACAAAAAAATAACAACTATGGTCTCTTTAGATTCTTCTTCTTCTTCTTCTTCTTCTTAGTTTTGTGTTTCTCTCTTTGTTGTTTTCATTTTTTTGGGGGAGAAGAGAACGTGGCAGAGTTAAAGGTACCATTCGAATATTCTACATAAAGCCACGTTCTTGCTCGTGATATATTATTTTGCCTACTTTTCGAATTTTATCTTTCTTTTTCTCTTTTTTGTGCAATCACTATCTCAAAAAAAAAATCGCGTTTTGAGTTCTGTACATGTAATTTTGTGATGGGTTTTGTGAGAAGAAGCAAATTGGATTTTTAGTCTTTTGGCTTGTTCTTCACTTTTTATTGTTTTTATTTATTTACTGGCGATATTTTAGTGATTTCTGAGAATTAATTTAGTTAATGTTTTTGTTGTTACAAAAGGTAACGTATATGAGAGGGTTTTGAGGTATTCATACGTTAAAACTTTTTTTTTTCTCTGGCAAAAAAAAAATCAGAAATCAACATTTCAAAACTTTGAAGGACGACCTTAAGATTCTATTTTTTTTTTTGGAAGTAAAGTTTATTGTTTTGTCTCTTTCTTTCTTGTTCTTGTTTTGTTGCTGTTTGGAGTTTAAAGATTTGTCATAGTATCATTAGTCGATTTTTTTCTTCTTTTGATTTTGATACGATTCTAAAAAATCCTCTCTTGCCTGCTTCTGCCATCTGTTTGGAATTTTAATATATTTCTTTCTGAATCTATTTCTTGTGTGTTTTTGGTTAAAGATGAGCTAATTATTAAAGTATAATCAGTAATATGATCATTTGCAATATGTATGTGAGTTTTTTTTTTTAATCTTCTTTTTAGTTTTATGAGAGATGAGATTTAAAACTCACTTTTGATGTTCTTATTCTGTTTTTTGTTTTGTGTATCCAGTTGCAAGAATCTCTTTGAAAGAAATTGGAATCTTTCTCCCCAAATATTCTTCTGGGAGCTTCATATATCAAAGCTGATTCATCTTTGCTTATATATATATATATAGCCAAGATGGATCAAATGTCACCTGATAACATAACTGGAGTCATTTTAGCAGTGTCTTCAAGTATTTTTATTGGTTCTAGCTTCATCGTCAAGAAAAAAGGTCTCAAGAAGGCCGGCGCAAGCGGTGTCCGAGCAGGTGAGAGAGCTTCTTTCACATCCCTACTAGTTCTTGAAATCAACACTTCAATATGGATCTTTTAACTTCTTGGTAATTATATCCTCGATCAGGTGAAGGAGGGTATGGATATTTAAAAGAACCATGGTGGTGGGCTGGAATGATAACAAGTAAGTCTTAAAACTCAAGATTCTGTTCAACTGTTTTTAAAACTCAAGATGCAAATGACTAAACATGTTTTGGCCTCTTGGTTTAGTGATTGTTGGGGAAGTAGCCAACTTTGCAGCCTATGCATTTGCACCAGCTATTCTGGTAACACCTTTGGGAGCTTTAAGTATTATATTCAGGTATTGGAACCTGAATCAGTATATCATATTATTATATATATTATATTTATAGACTATGGTTTTCTTGAAAACAAGAACCTATGTTTTATGCAGCGCAGTGCTAGCGCATTTTATTTTGCAAGAGAAACTGCATATGTTTGGTATACTTGGTTGCATTCTCTGTGTTGTTGGGTCTACAACTATAGTCTTACACGCACCACATGAGCAGAAGATTGAATCAGTCAAGCAAATATGGCAGCTTGCTACTGAACCAGGTATATATACTTAACAATAAGAAAAATCGAATTTTAGTAAGACTGCTTCTGATGGCAAGCTCTGTTTCATCAGGTTTCCTTGTGTATTCTGCCGTGATCGTGATTGTGGTAGCTATACTGATCTTCTACTATGAACCGCGATATGGAAAGACTCATATGATAGTATATGTTGGAATCTGTTCCTTGATGGGTTCTCTTACGGTACGATTTTTCTTGATGAGCTAATCTCTCTTTGTTAACTATTATGCTTCATGGAAAATTTTCCTCAGGCTTTCTTGATTGTATAGGTTATGAGTGTTAAAGCTGTGGCGATTGCGATAAAGCTAACGTTTTCGGGGACGAATCAGTTCATATACTTCAACACTTGGATTTTCATTTTAGTAGTTGCGTTTTGTTGCCTTTTACAAATCAACTACTTGAACAAGGTACACACAAAAAAAAACTAAGTAAAATTCAATCATGTTGTTTGCACACAAGCCTTCATCACATTCATCTTTTCTGAACTTCTTCTCTCTTTGTAAATTGGCTATCAGGCACTGGATACATTCAACACCGCGGTTATTTCACCGGTTTACTACGTTATGTTCACAACTTTCACCATCATAGCTAGTATGATCATGTTCAAGGTCAAAAAGAATCTCTTTATTCAACTCTTTTTTTCTTCATCCCCAAGTAAACAAAGTCCAATTAAATAAAGTTTGTGTGACTGACTACAGGACTGGGCTTCTCAGAGTGGATTGAAGATTGCAACAGAGTTGTGTGGGTTTGTGACGATTTTGTCAGGAACATTTCTGCTTCACAAGACGAAAGACATGGGAAACACTAACAGTGGAAGTGGTCGTGGAAGTGGTCGTGGATCTGTCTCTATGCCTAGAGAGACTCCTGTCTTTACCAACTCAGGATCAGCTCGGAGCTCTAGCTCAGATAAAATACCCTCCTGATCTAACTTAACGTCCAAGATTCTCCACCATTGTACGTACACGTGAGCACGAAACACTTGAAAGCATAAAGGATCGATGTATTTTTGAACACTTGTTTAGGAACTATATTCTTTTTATTTTATTTTTTGGTTTCTATGAGAATGTAATTTTTCTAACTAAAGAGAATTAATGTTTTTTTTTTTTAACAGAGGTACAAATATATAAACTGAACCAAATCCAATAAATTTTTTTTTTTTATAACATTGGTGTCAAAGATCATTTGGAGAAATCATTGTCTTGAGTCTTGACATAAACTTGGCGTCACAAGACTCTCCTTCTCCAATCTCATTCATCACCAAAAAGGGATAAAAAGCTATTTTCTACAATCTACATGGACAATTTTAAAAAATGCATACACTTGCAATACGAGTGTTTCCTCTTATATGTTTTTGTTCTTGTTCCCGTCGAGTTTGGATTTTTGAATAAATGATATATGCATCTATCTTTCTAGACTGTGTTTTGATCAAAGTAAAAAAAGAAAGATCCAAGTAATAAAGTGTAACAATTGTTCAAATCTAATCAGTTTGTAATGTTCTTAACCCTCTTGTTAGTTATAAAGAGCAACAAAGTAGTGATAGAATGGTCCTCTTCAAAGCAAAAAGGGATGCTTAAGTATAAGACATAAGCAAGTAACCAAAGAGATATACTCTGTTTTGTCAATTTTCTAGTCCTCCTTCATTTGCTAATCAATGATGTTTTAATACACAAAATAAAACAAAGAAACTAACCACTAAATTTACAGAAGCAAAACAACATGATCTTAACTCTTATCTTCACATAGATGATCTCGGTTTATCTTCTCATCAAGGAGAAACCGAACAAATCTGAACTGAACCAAATCCAGTAATTGTTTTTTGAATGTTAACGATCACTTGGAGAAACCATTGTCTTGACATAAACTTTGGCGTCACGACAACCACTTAAGCTATGTGCAACTGGGTAATGAAACTTTCCATTAGCACAGTTATAGAGAGCTAAACCGGATCTAAACTCTAATAAAACCACTAAACCGTCTGAGATCCATAGTGGTCGAACAAAGTCAGTCAAACCTGGAATGGTCAAGAGTTTAGACCAAGACTCTCCTTCTCCAAACTCCTTCATCACCAAAACATCTGCCTTAGCTCCTTTGCAGTAACACACCATTGAAAGACATCCTCTCAAATCTCCAAGCGTCAATGTAAAACATCCTCGGCTGCAACAAACTGGCCCGGGAAGCTCCTTGAACACATCTCGTGACATATCGTATGATATAATAGTCCATGTTGATGAGTGAGTCGTGGCTACCCAGTTTAGTGTCCCGTTGATGTAGATTCCGGATCTTGATTTGTCAGCAACAACAACTCCAGATGGGAAACAACTATCGTTGCTTCTTCTTCTCCAGAGCTTTTGTCTCGTTGAGTAGATCTTTACCTCTGTCTTCACTTGTTGTCTTTGTTGCAACAATGCAACCACTTTATAGTCATCTTCAGATTCATCATAACCAAACCCATACGTTACAACAAACTCATCATCTCTCGTTTCAAGATCCGAACCAGACAATCTTTGTTGAAGCTTGGTGGTTGGGTTCCACAAGTAGAAGCTTTTGTCGTAATCTACGTGGAAGCAAACCAATCCATGACAAGTCCCCACGACTTGATAGTAATCTCTGCCTATAAGCTCACCATCATGCTCTACAACATTGGCGGTTGATTCATTGTATAAAGAGTGGACGCAGCACGACTTGAGATGGTACCGAGACGTTGTGATGACTCCGTAAGGACTCTTCTTGGAAGTGGTTGCCTTCGATGCCTCCAAGATCGAAGCGTGTTTCAGACCAAACAGAGTCTCTGAGATCAAAGATCTCCACGAGCTGCAAACGCATTTGAATCGCGCCAATGACTTTACGGGGAGCCTTAAGAGAATCTCTTCCACCATTTCAAGAGGAAGATTAGGTGGTGAGGACATCTCTTTGGTGGTTTCCTTCATGAGTCAGAGCAGAGGAACCAATAGTGTTGAAGAAGAAAATATAAAAAGACCATTCTTTTACGCACAAGTGGTTGTGGAAAAAGAGGAGATGCATGTATCAGGATAATGTAAAATATCAAATATAACGTAGAATATTATGTACTTTATGATAACATATATATATTAGATATGGGGGATGATAATGTGGTAAAGATGTTGACATTAAAAAGAAAGTTGAGGACACAAGTTAAAGGACCAGAAGAAGTTATAGAGCGACAAAATTTGCTTCTTTTATTTTTTTCATCTAGTAACAAAATTTTGGTTCTTATCATATGCAATAAACAAGCAAAGCTTCATTATTGACCGTGGTAGAAAAGTTCCAAAGTATTACAACAAAATGGAAAGACAACGATATGTACTTAAAAATAGAATATTAAAGGAATAATTGGCAATATAGTACGTTTTCAAAACATAATATGTTATTTGATACATTCACTATTTATAATGAGTTATTTACAGAAAAAGTAACGAAACGCCGATGCATTTCGGAAACAAACACAATGCCCACCAAACTTCAGCATTAGGCACTTGTGTTTTTGGAAATTACTATACTACCCTTACTTAGTTGATTTCATGATATTGTTCTACTTATTCCTAATTATTTAGTGAAACTAATAATTTTCACATACGAGAAAATAGTTGACCACATCAGATTATTCATGTTATATTAAAAGAAAAATTGTGATATTCGATGCTTTATTAAAATTTTTTTGTTGTGAATCGATGATGTCCAAATCTGTTCAAAAACTTGTTGACCAAATATGTTCAATATCCCATACTATTTCTTTCTTAAAAAATATTTAGGTTTACACTATTGTTCATATCCTCTTAATTAATCCATCAAAATTGTATAACAATCTGCCATATCATTTTCTATTTAAAAAAAATCAAAATTAAAATAAATAAAATAAAACAAACTAAAGGAATAAATTTTGTACGATTTTTATTAAGGAAAATTTATTCAATTTATATCTATAAATTATTATTTAGGGTTTAGATTTTATAAATAAATAAAATTATATTTTGGTTTGGGTTTATAAAATAGTTGTTAGGGTTTAGATTTTATAAATAAACATAAATATATTTTGGTTTGGGTTGATAAAATAGTGGTTTTTTTTTTGAACACATAAAATAGTGGTTAGAATTTAGATTTTGTAATTAAACAAAATTATATTTTGGTTTGGGTTGATAAAACAGTGGTTAGGGTTTATATTTTGTAATTAAACGAAATTATATTTTAGTTTGGATTGATAAAATAATAGCTAGGGTTTAGATTTTTTGATCAAACAAAATTATATTTCGCTTTGGGTTGATAAAATAGTGGTTAGGGTTTAGATTTTATTATTAAACGAAATTATATTTTGTTTTGGTTGATAAAATAGTGGTTAGCAGTGGCGTACCCAGGATTTATTTTTGCCCAGGTCAAATAGTTATAAATATGTAACTAAACCAAACTAAACTAGTTGCAAATGTATAAAATCCTATGAAACTAACCAAACAAATTAAGTTTAGGGAGGTCAGCTGACCCACCTTAGTTACACATAGGTCCGCCGCTGGTGGTTAGGGTTTAGATTTTATAATTAAACAAAATTATATTATGGTTTGGGTTGATAAAATAGTGGTTAGGGTTTATATTTTATAAATAAACAAAATTATATTTAAGTTTGGGTTGATAAAATAATAGTTAGGGTTTAGATTTTGTAATAAAAAAAATTTGGTTTGGGTTTATAAATATGAATTATTTTAATTTTGATTGGGGTTTTTAGTCCCTTTAAACTTGGGTTTAGTGAATATTTTTCTTTTTAATCGCTGCTTTTCACTACATAATTGGTATCAATTACTGTGCTCCACTTGTTAATCAACTTGCATAATCTCACTAAAGCCAGCATAGTAAACTATTAGGGACAGAAATGTCATCAACAGTTAGTTTTGTTATATATTTAATGCTCTCCTTCCTACTATGCCTCTTTCCGAAGTTAGAAGCTGAATTGTGCCTATCTTTATAATAATCTCATTTATAATTTGCAAAATACACATAAGTCACTGTTCACTTTTGCACACATCCCTGTTTTGCCATTATTATATCCATCTATTTACTATTAATGCCACTGAACATTTATCCCCCCCAAACCGAAGAGATTAACTCCCACTTTTAATTAATATTTTTTTCTTTCTTTTTTTCTTTTTTATTACATTTCCCCTTCAATCTTAAAACTAAAATACTAGTAAATGAAAATTTGAATTTTTAAAAATTTCAGATATATAAAAATCTATGTTTTTTCTCTATTATATGATATGCATTTTGTTTGATGATTTATTTGATAATAACAAATAAATTTTCTAAATTTTAGATCTGTACAATTGTACAGATCAAACTGTACACTTATTATATGTACAAAAAATGTATGTATAACAACTGTATACAAAAATATATGTACAGATATAATTGTATATATATAGACTATTATATAAATTTAAAATCATTTAACAAAATGCATATCAAATTGTAGAGAAAAAAACATATATTTTTTTTGTTTGTGAAAAATATCAAAAAAAATATATATATTGGTGAACATTTTAATTATTAGATTGGAATGGTGTAATAAAAAGAAAAAAAAATAATTTAAAAAAATCTATTACACACCTCTTTTTCTCTCCAAAACAAACTACTCACACCAACAAACACATGCCCTATTTTTGTCTTTTCACCCAACAACCTCTTACCCCACACAAAATTCTATTACACACAACCCTTATTACACAACACCTATTTTGCAAATTATGAATAGGAAATGTACTAAACAGCATATATTGTTTCCAAAACGTACTAAACAACAAATTTACCCAATATTAAATATAGGAGATCATGATCGAATGGTTTAAATATAGTCACGATTTTCAATCGAGAAACTAATGGTCAAGTTAAACAAAATAAGTGTTACAATATAATCAAAAGATTAGCAGCTAATACAAGTAGGTGGAGTTGTCAAAGCTAGTGGAAATCTGGGTCAAAACAATTTTGATATGAACTTTAAGACATTGCTATGTGTTACAACTTTTTGTTAGATTTTGTGTGTTTATCGTGGTAAATATTTTTTTTAGTTCAATTTTTCGTTTTATATGCAATGTAATTGTCTGGAGATTAGAGGTACTGTTGAGCATGGACCACCTGAGTACTTGCGCATGTATAGTATTGTTGTTTATTTGCATAATCTCTGCTTGTCATTTCAGCCGGGCGTCACATTACCAACAACGAGAAACAGATCCTAATTCATCATAAAGATGTGAGGTGGTCGCATATGTAGGAGATGTCAAGGAAGTAGAGCTACGTGATTCCGTTGCTTCTTACTATTTGGACGTGACACTTTAGTATCCTATAATTAAATACCATATCCTATAATTATAGTAGGGAAATTGTTAAGCACACAAAATCTACACGATTGAAAATGCGAGAAAACCTGGATTCTTACAATATTTCTACATTTTTTGCGGTAAAAAACAATATTTTCTTGTATATTTTCAAAATTATAGGTTACCAAAGATTTTTTACAAACTTTTCAAACTATATTTCTTTTAAAACAAAAAATTATTCAATAAGAGTAACAAAAATCTTTAACACCCATTGTTGTGATTATGCATATATATGATTATATATAAACCATATTCGTGAAAATATTAAGAATCAAATAGTTGTCAGAGTTATATTTTGCTGAAAAGATAATATTATAAATCTTATAACTTCATATAAATTATTTAAACGTGCCAAAACAAATTATCCTAGTTGAAAAAATTGAAGATCTTACAAAAAAATCAATTGGTGGTGCGGGACTAATTGCAGTAGTGGGATGTAAAATGAGATAATCGAAAGTGTTAATATTCTTATGTATAATGGGATATATTATTATATATTAATTACTTGTTATATATATCTACATATTTTTATCTTTTAAATATGTTAAATACATAGCTTGGAAACTAATGATATTTTACTATCTCTTATTTGCCTAAAATAAACCATGATTTCAACTTATATTTCTTATACCTAATTCTGAATATATGCAAAATATGATTGAAAATTGTAATTCATATACTTTAATATAAATTTAAAATGGTTATACACTCTTATAACAAATTAAATTTAAACTGTTTGATTAATATTTGCATATATATATAACATATTAATTTTCAAATTTTCATATAAGAAAAAGAAAGAGTTAATAATATAATGCATGGTTTAAAAGTGGCAATGAGAGGCTTAGGTTAACTCCAGCCGTCCGATTTCACATACTAATAGGATCTTACATGAAAAGTGGCATTGAGAGGCTTAGGTTAACTCCAGCCGTCAGATCTCTTCACCCGCAATACGATCATCAAAATGCTGAAAAATATCTTCTCCCGCTCCTATACCAAATTCAAATTTCGAATTTTGATTCGGTCAGTCAAACACCCCAACCGTTGCAATTCTCTCTCTCCTCAATTCAATTCATTATATCTCTCACTCAAATTCCCCATTTCAAAAAAAGAAAAAAAAGATACACAACACTCCTGGTGAACGCTCTTCTTCTTCTCCTTCTTCATTCTTCTATCTCTCTCTGTACTTTCGCGAAAACCCTAATTTCTAGATCTGTTTTCTCTACAATCGCCTCTCTCCCGTTTCTAGATCTGAAGATCTACTCTCAAGTTTCTCCCTCAGAAACTCGCTACCATGGCTACCAAACTCCCGCTTCAAACCAGCAACAACGCAAATGTCCCAAAACCTCGAGCCGCCGCCGCCGGGAAGACGATTGAGGAAATGTATCAGAAGAAATCGCAGCTGGAACACATCCTGCTCCGTCCTGATACGTACATCGGATCGATTGAGAAACACACCCAAACGCTTTGGGTCTATGAGAATGAAGAGATGGTTTCTCGTCCTGTTACCTACGTTCCTGGATTGTATAAGATCTTCGATGAGATTCTTGTGAACGCTGCTGATAACAAACAGAGAGATCCGTCGATGGACTCTCTGCAAGTTGTGATCGATGTTGAGCAGAATCTGATTAGTGTTTGTAACACTGGAGATGGAGTCCCTGTGGAGATTCATCAGGAAGAAGGTGTTTATGTGCCTGAGATGATTTTTGGTCATTTGTTGACGAGTAGTAACTACGATGATAATGTGAAGAAGACCACTGGTGGAAGAAACGGATATGGTGCTAAGCTTACTAATATCTTCTCTACTGAGTTCATCATAGAGACTGCTGACGGGAAGAGACTCAAGAAGTATAAGCAGGTATTGAATCGTTTCTTGCTTCTGTATTGTTGTTGTTGTTGTTGTTTCATCTATGGCGTAATTGATTTGCTGATTCGTTTAGGAAATTAACTTTTACTGGTGATGATTTAGGTCTTTGAGAACAATATGGGGAAGAAGTCAGAACCAGTTATAACCAAATGCAATAAGAGTGAGAACTGGACGAAGGTTACATTCAAACCAGATTTGACGAAGTTTAGCATGACTGAATTGGAGAGCGATGTGGTTGCTTTAATGAGTAAGCGAGTGTTTGATATTGCTGGATGTTTGGGGAAGTCTGTCAAAGTTGAGCTGAATGGCAAACGAATACCAGTCAAGTCATTCAGTGATTATGTGGATTTATACCTACGTGCGGCTAACAAATCAAGGACTGAGCCTCTCCCAAGGTTTGTTCCCGTGATTTGCTGTTGCTTAGTTATAGCAATTGTGTTTCTTGGAATGTATCTTTGATCTTTTTGAGTTTTCTGTGATTAGGATGACTGAGAAAGTTAATGACAGATGGGAAGTTTGTGTGAGCGTAAGTGATGGACAGTTTCAGCAGGTGTGTATACATTTGGCTGTGTATTGGTATTACCTTTTTTCATATGAAGAAAGAAAGAGTAAAGTCTTAACAATGTTTTCTGGTTGTCTGCTGCTACCAGGTCAGCTTTGTCAACTCCATAGCAACGATCAAGGGTGGTACTCATGTTGATTATGTGACGAGTCAGATCACAAACCATATTGTGGGTATTGTGAACAAAAAGAGTAAAACCGCTAACGTTAAGGCCCATAACGTAAAGAACCATCTGTGGGTGTTTGTCAATGCACTGATTGACAATCCTGCTTTTGATTCCCAAACAAAAGAAACTCTGACTCTTCGACAGAGCAGTTTCGGATCAAAATGTGAGCTTTCAAAAGATCTTTTGAAGAAAGGTATGGTGCGCTTGATCTGTCTTTTGTGGATAAGTTTGATGTAACTGATTTTTTGTAAGAGTGATGAATCCTTATTTTATTTTTTGTGTAATGTTTGTTTTAGTGGAAAAATCTGGCGTAGTGGAGAATCTGCTTTCATGGGCTGATTTCAAGCAGAGCAAAGACCTAAAGAAAACTGATGGAGCCAAAACAGGGAGGGTTTTTGTTGAGAAGTTATCGGATGCAAACGAAGCTGGAGGGAAGAACTCTCAAAAGTGTACGTTGATTTTGACTGAAGGTGATTCAGCCAAGTCACTAGCGGTAAGTGGTTCTGATCTATAGTTTCTGCCACCTCTCAATTATTATCACAACGCTCCTAATACTCATTATGGTCAGATGGCGGGTGTGTCTGTTGTGGGTCATGACTATTACGGTGTGTTTCCGCTTCGAGGAAAGCTACTGAATGTTAGGGAAGCCAGCACCACTCAGATTACAAACAATAAGGAAATTGAGAACTTAAAAAAAATTCTTGGGCTCAAGCAACATATGAAGTACGAGAATGTTAACTCATTAAGATATGGCCACATGATGATCATGACTGATCAAGTATGTTTACAGACTACTTCTTATCTTTACCCTCGGTGCATTATTCTATACAGTATATGTTTTCTTGACGAAATTTCTCTCTCTCCACCTTGTTCAGGATCATGATGGTTCCCATATAAAGGGGCTCCTAATCAACTTTATCCACTCTTTCTGGCCGTCGTTACTCAAAGTTCCATCATTCCTGGTTGAGTTTATAACACCCATTGTGAAGGTAAGTAGAAAGACTTTATCTTCCTTTCATTTTATAGTGCTTGATATAGTAGATAAAAGAATGCTAACAACTGCCCTGAAATATCATACTCAGGCTACGAACAAGAAAACTAAAAGAGTTTTGTCATTTTACTCAATGCCTGAGTATGAAGACTGGAAAGAAAGTCTGAGGGGTAATGCAACCGGATGGGAAATCAAATACTACAAGGTTTTCTTTCTGTTGCAACTATCTAGAGAGAACCTACTGAAACTTCTCATGTACTAATTGTCCATATATCTTTCCAGGGGCTGGGTACAAGTGATGCTAAGGAGGGGAAAGAGTACTTTAGTAATCTTAGTCTTCACAAAAAGGATTTTGTTTGGGAGGATGAACAAGATGGAGAAGCCATTGAACTTGCTTTCAGTAAAAAGAAGATTGAAGCCCGAAAAAATTGGCTTTCAAACTATGTGGTATGGAGGATTTAAGTTATCTTTAAAAAAAATATGTTTTCTGCTTATTACATCTGCCTATTCTGATTTCTCTTTTCCATTCAGCCTGGCACTCATCTTGATCAGAAAGAACCAAAAATTACATACAGTGACTTCGTGAACAAAGAACTGATCTTGTTCTCCATGGCGGATCTTCAACGGTCAATTCCCTCAATGGTTGATGGGCTCAAACCCGGTCAGAGAAAGATACTTTTCTCTGCATTCAAGAAAAACTTAGTTAAAGAAATGAAGGTTGCCCAATTCTCTGGATATGTAGCAGAGCACTCAGCTTATCATCATGGTGAGCAGAGTCTTGGCAGCACTATCATAGGCATGGCACAGGATTACTTGGGGAGCAACAATATCAACTTGCTTAAACCAAAAGGTCAATTTGGTACACGAGCTTCGGTAAGGATAGCTAATAGACCAACTGTTCTCATTTATCTATGCTTGTGCTCATCATAGTGCATCCAATTGTAGGGTGGAAAAGATGCAGCTAGTACAAGATACATTTTCACTGTACTCTCTCCAGCAACAAGGGTTTTGTATCCCAAGGATGATGATGTCCTACTTGATTACTTGAATGAAGATGGGCAAAAGATAGAGCCAACTTGGTAACTCTTTGCCCTCCTTAATTATTTGTTTTTTACTTTTCAGACTAGTTAACTCAATATGTTATTGCTGGTTAGGTACATGCCCATAATTCCAACTGTTCTTGTCAATGGCTCTGAAGGCATTGGAACTGGGTGGAGCACTTTCATACCGAACTATAACCCTAGAGAGATTGTTGCTAACATAAGGCGTCTAATCAATGGTGAAAGTGTGGTTCCTATGGATCCTTGGTATAGAGGTTTTAAAGGAACTATTGAGAAAAGTGCCTCTAAGGAAGGTGGTTGTACCTACACAATCTCTGGTCTATATGAGGAAGTTGATGACACAACTATCAGAATTACGGAGCTGCCCATCAGAAGGTGGACTGATGATTATAAACAATTCTTGGAGTCAATGAAGGCAGATAATGGTGCCCCCTTTATCCAGGTAGAATGCATGCTTTAATCAGAAACTAAACTAGTATTCTTTTATGCTGCTTTCTGATTCGTTCTTTTTTCTCTGCAGGACATCAGGGCATACAATGACCATGCATCTGTGGATTTCGACATTAAATTGAGTGAAGAGAACATGCTGGAGGCTCGGCAAGAGGGCTTTCTGAAGAAATTCAAACTCACCACGACAATCTCTACAAGTAATATGCATCTCTTTGATAAAAAAGGTGTTATAAAGAAATATGCGTCTCCAGAACAAAGTAAGAAGAGATCCAACTTGTTTTTATTCTTTTTTTTTTCTCCTCTATAATACATACTAATGTTACATCCCTATGTTCCAGTCCTTGAAGAGTTCTTTGACCTCAGGAATGAATACTATGAGAAGAGAAAGGTTTGAAAATAAACAATGATTCAGTCCTTTAGAGGTTTTAGTCATCATGGTACTGTTCTAACATTAATTGTCTTCTGATGTATTCAGGAAACTATGCTGAAGAATATGGAACTTGAGCTGTTGAAACTAGAAAACAAAGTGAAGTTCATTCTTGGAGTTCTCAGTGGAGAAATCATAGTGAATAATAGAAAGAAAGCTGATCTTGTTGAGGAATTGAGACAGAGAGGGTTCACACCATTTCCGAAGAAGATCATGCCTGTAGAGGCTGCAGTTGCTGGAGCAATTGATGCAGCTGAAGAATCTGAAGAAAGCTCAGTGGATCCTGTAGATTCCGCAGATGCTTATATACCCGGCTCAGAGTATGACTACCTATTGGCAATGGCTATAGGATCGTTGACTATAGAGAAAGTTCAGGAGTTATGCGAAGACAGAGATAAAATGCTTGAAGCAGTTGAGGACTTGAGAAAAACCACACCGAGAGCCCTCTGGCTCAGAGACCTGGACTCTCTTGACAAGGAACTAGATGTAAGGATTCACAAAGCTAACCCTTATATAACGCTTAATATTTAATTTGTCACTGACATATCTTCTTCCTCATATTGCAGAAACTTGATCAGGCCGATGCTAAGGCCGAAATAGAAAGAAAGGTAGCACAAGAAAAAATCAGGGCCAAATCTGGAGCACCATTAAAGGGTAGAAAACAGGCGCCAAAGAAACCGGTAGCAAAGAAGACAACAAAGAAAGTCAGTGAATCCGAAACAACAGAGGCTTCAGCGATGGACACTGGTTAGTCTCCTCGTACTCGAGCGTTTTCATTGCGTTTTGTTTTCTTGGTTGGATCTAATGTACATTGGAAACCTTTTCTTGATTCTATAAGATTACAACGTAGCAGAAGTGGTGAAGCCAAAAGGTAGACAAGGAGCCAAAAAGAAGGCTCCAGCTGCAAAGGTGATTATTGCTTATAGTTAATTGATAGGTTGAATGACGGTATAATCCGAAAAACTTATGCTGTTCGGTTACTGTTTTGCAGGAGGTTGAGGAGGATGACATGTTGGATCTAGCACAACGGCTTGCCCAATACAATTTTGGCTCAACAAGCAGTAAGCTAACAATCACATTCTTGATAAAGAAACATTGATCTAACGTGTATGTAATTGGGTCCTGAAGTTTTGTCTTTTATGTGGTTTTATCAACAGATTCAACTGAAACATCG